TTTGGATGGACCACTAATAGGATCATATGCACACACATCATTCACAAATGAATAGGAACAAGAGTCGTGTAATGAATGTACCAATAGTACAAAAGTACAAGTCTATTCTCATCATATGAACTAACATCCATAGCAGGTTCCCAATTATCTCATCTACCCTCATGCATTGCATCATTCAATTCAGACTTCCTAAACCCATCGCAGTCTTTCGCTACCTAACAGCAAAACCCAGACAAAAAGAGAGACATTGCCCATTTTTGTTTCATCAATCACAAAAATACAAGAGCGTCCTTAGGTATATCCTTCGTTATCACTTACATCACGGCATGGAAAACGTTGGCCCTCACTGGGCTCCCCCCTCCCAAAATCCACATGCTCTCAGTTCCAAGGCAGCTCCAGGCGCTCCGCCTCGGCGTCCAGCTCCTGGCGGCCTTCCCTCGTAGGGGGCGCAGCCTCCTTTCGTGGGGCCTCGAGGTCAAAGGCCTGTTCGACAGGGGCCTCGATCTCGAGATACTCGAGGGCAGCCTCTGAGCTGCCCAGGGGGGCCTGTTGTTCCTGCTTGCCAGGGACCTCCAAGCCCATCTCCCTCTGGTGTGCCTTCTCCTCGGGACCAGCCTTGACGTACTGCGTCTCCCGTGAGACGACAACCTCGGTCGCGGTCTCCGTGACCTTGACAGTGGCAGTCTCCATGGCGGTCACCGTCTCGACGACACGGACGACTCGCTCAGAGATGAGTGTCTCGGTCTCAGTCTCGCGGCGGCGGCGAGGTGGGGGAGCATAGACGAGGTCCCGGAAGGGGTCCTTTCCACCAGCTCGGGGAGGCAGGCTGCAAGAGGCACAGGGGTCAACGGACTCTGCAGAAGAAGAAGCGGTGGTAGAGCGAGAGCTAGCGGCGCGGGACTTGCTGCTGGTTTCAACCTTCTCCTCAACAACCTCGGGCTCCTCCTCGACGGTCTCCTCCTCGACGATGGGGCTCTCTTCAGGCACTTCGGCCTCCTCTGAGGCGGCACTCTCCTTGGGCAACTCAACACTGATGCTGCTCTCCTCAACGATAGTCTCTGCGGAAGCAGTCGCCTGTTTGATAGCCTCCGCCGTGGGAACCACAGCTTCTTGAGTCATCGTAACAGTAGGTACCTCAGCCTTCTTCACAATGGTCTGGAACGTTCTAGGATCATGTGTAGGGCCGGGGCCTCCCCTGATGGCCAGCAGGAGAATCAGCACGCTCAGAAGGCCGATGAGGACGTTTTTCTTGTCTTGCATCAGCACGCGCGCAGACTCGGCCAGTAGCTGTGGCAGAGAGGCGCTCTTCATTGCTTTTTGACGATCCTCGTTCTGGTGGTAGGTCTCTCCGGATGGAGGCATTCCCTGGTAGTCGGAAGCACCGGGCTGACCTCGCTCAGTTTGTTGTTGATCATGTTGAGCGTGCTCAGGGAAAGATCGTGCGTGCTCATCCTGAGCGGGAGCATCGCCATAAATTTCCCTGTATCTCTCTTCATCACTCCTCTTACGCTCCTCCTCGTCCTTGATGTCTTCGGGAGAGATCGAGGCGCGAGAAGAGGGAGCAGCCCGGGCCTGGGCGTCCATATGGGAGATGTCGTCGGGTCCGAGGCTCATTCGTGATTCGTCAGCCTGGCTTCTTCGTTCATGCTCCTCTTGGAGGTGCTCGTCAAGGTCCTTTTCGAGGTCATCAAAGGATCGGCTCTTGTCGAGGTCGTCGGTATAATCCTTGGTGGTGTCCTCAGCGGGCTCCCGTGTAATATCGGCAGCCTTCTCGTCCACTGGTTCTGTGGTGTCCGCGATATGGCTTTCCTCGTGACGTGACTCGGCATGAAGGCTGCGCTCCTGAAGATGGGACTCCTCGAGATGGGACTCGCCTTCAGTCAGACGAGACTCATCCTCATCAACATGACTCCGGCTTTCTCCCCGTCGCTTAGCAAGTCGTCCCCTCTCCCTCGACTCAAACTCCCTATGCTCCTCCTCCAACCTCACATATCGCTCCTCCTCCTCAGCCTCTCTCATAGCCAACTCCCTCTCCTGGTCAGCCTCCATCTGGACGAGCTCATGCTGGGAGACAGCATCAACCAGCGGCTCAATCTCGACATCAACACGCTCCATCTCCTTCCAGCAGGCCTCCCAGGCACCGCCACGGATCAGGCCGTTGCTCGCGTATACCTTGACGCGGAAGATCTTGCCCTCTCCAAGAGACTCGTAGCGGATGTCCGAGCGGCATGTCTTGCACCAGTGTGTCTTTTCTGGCTGGCTGCGACGACTAGATCGGCGTGTATCAGGCTCATCATCATAATCAGAATCTTCCTCAGACTCGCTTGATGACTCATCCAGAGTTGACATGTTGGAGGGACCGAGATAGTGGCCGCACTCGAGAATACGAGCCCGTCGCCTCACGGGAAGTTCAAGAGCCTCCAGCAGCCGCTCCTCAAGAACCTCGTAGTCGTTCTGAGGATGGGGCAGGAGAATACCTCGCTCGACTGTAGTATCACCCATGCGGTCCTGCAGCGTTCGCCAAGCATCGCGGATAGTCTTGGCTTCCTGGCTCATATCCTCTGGGTCAGCATTCTCCAGGACATCTCCCCAGGGCCATCGTAGAGGCAGCAGGGTGACATGGAGAAGAACCAAAGGCGGCGTGGATCTCTTGAAGCGAGGCGGTGTCTTCTTGGGCGAGTATTGCTCTGAGAAGCGGGGAGATCCGACTCTAGAAACAGTTGGCAAAGGTGCTCGTCGGCTTGAACGGGGGGATCCCAGGACTGACGCAGGAGGGGAGGACATCTGCATGGCCTTGACAGAGGAAGGTGATCTAAAGGCAGGTCGTGGGGTGCCTCTGATGGTAGGGATAAACTCATCCTCCTCTCTCTCATACTCGGAGATGCCCGAGATGCCGGAAATACCAGAGATGCGCGGCGACCTGGACATCCTGCCCATGGCTTCCTGGGCTTTTCGATTCTCAGTCTCCGAGACGGAACCTAACGAGCTTCGAGGGCTGCGGTCGCTAAACACATCATCCTCGTGCTCGTGGTGGGAGCTGTTGTCATCCACACCGCCTCTTGTGCCGTCCTCGACCGACATGTGGGCGTCTGACTGACGATCGCTGGAAGACTCGGAGCGAGAAAGATAGCCGGTCTCGTCTGAGCCGGAGTAGCTACTCAGAGAATCTCTCTTGTCGTCGCTGCCAATCTGCGAGACGATGTCGCGGGCCGCCTTGTGGATGCGAGCCTCTGTGCGGTCAGAGTGTCTGCGGTCTGAGATGTAGGATCCGGAAGAAGCAGAAGAGCGTCGAGATTCGGAGCGGTCTGATTCGCTCTCTGAGTGTGTCTCTTCTTCTTGGTTCTCAGTGGCTGCTTCCTGGGTCTCAGACACTGCAGCCTTAGCCTGATGTTCTTCGAAGTCGTCCTCAGAAGAGATGTATGAATAGTCCTCTTGTTGGTCGTCTAATGAGGCCTCGGCTGGCTTTGGAGTTTCTTGGTCAAGCTCCTCAGTATCTTGCTGGAGCTTGTCCTCTGTGTCGTCCTCGGCCTCTGGCTCTAGGGTGGATGATTGTTTGTCGTCCTCCTCTACCGGTGTGACAATGGGCTTGCCGTCCTCCTCTGGGGCTTCAACCGCAGGCTCAGCCTTGGGTTCAGCAGGCAATTGGGACTCTTGTTCAATATCGATGTTGCTAGTAGTGTTGTGCTGTTCTTGCTGTTGCTCTTCCGCCTTTGGCTCCTCGTGGCCTTTGTGTTCGTTATCGTCCATAGGATCGCTCAAGCAGGAAGGGTCGACGTGTATCTCAAAGTCGAGGTCCTCGGCCCTGTTGCGTCGGGGCATCTGAGGGCGGGCGGAGGAGAGTAGCTGTCTTTCGTATGTGTGCCGCAAGGTTTGCAGTGACACACACACAGGGGAAAGTAAAATAGGATGATGCAGAAGCGAGAGTAGAATGGGTTCTCTCCCGGGATGGTGCAGGTATTATTTTCGGTCGGTCGTCAAGCTTAGCCGCCCTGGGTGCGTGTGGCATCGGATGGTTGGTCGAGGCAGTTGGGAGAGGCCCTGGTCTTTGTTTACCTTGGTTGCTGGGTCGACGGGCCGCCTGGCCTGTTTCCCATGGGTCGCCCCCCGGCCGGTTGCTGTCTGGATACCGCGACAACGGCGAGGGTTTGCAAACGGAAATTGCCTTTTTAATTGATGAATTGATCGTCCGAGATTTGAGGGGGTCTTTTTCATCTTCGTAATCTAGTTTTGTTGTCTCGGGGCAGTGGATTGTAGTCTTGGTGCTAATATTCACTACCTATATTTGCTGGACTGGCGGCTATTTGCGTGATGTCATGCACTCGCTATCTTCCCCAAACTCGCTTGCTTGATAATACCGGACAACAACCCATGCTTGCCCTGTAGTTTTGCCACATCAGACCGACCATGTTTCTCTTGAATTCCTGGTTTTTTTTGGGGGGGGGGGCTTTTCTTTGCTCAAAGATCTGGCTTGTGAAACCCGCATCGAAGAGTCTAGGGTAACGCAGCTCCCAAAGAACAGATGGTTGGGACGGGAAAGGTTTCACCCACAAGGCACCCGCATTCCTCGACGACGAGAATAAATATGGCGTAATTGTGTCTCTTAAGTGCTCTTTAGTCATCATAGATCTGATATGTCGTCCTTCACCGCTGGTCTGTAGCGGTGTATCGCTGTGGGAGCAAGTAGTTGCTGCATTAACACCGCTAGTCTTTTGAGCTGCCTTGGAAAGAAAACTCTGGTTTGACAAGATAATACCACCAATGTATTCAATTTAAAATAGAGTTGGGTATAATACAAACAAGTACATAGCAAACTTGCAATCTTCAAAGTCGCTCAATCACAGACCTAGCTCTCCCACGTCCAACCATACTTCTCATGAGTCTCACGCAGAACCTCTATCGCTCTACTATAAGCGCGGTCCTTCACCTCCCTCTTGATAACCACATCAGGAACTATATCGAATCAGTATTTAAAAGTGAACGCAGCTGTGGGAACTCACCTTCTAGGTACCCATGGAATAGCTCTTTCTCGTGCATGAGCTCGACCCGGGGAACTTCCCTGTTCCCGACCGCCTCATCCTCAGCATTGACTCGCTCCGCAAACTCGGTCTGCTCGGCCACCAAAATGTCAATACCAGGAACAACCAAGAGTATCCGGTCCGGTAGCGTCTCCTTCTTTGCAAGCACCGGACTTAGCCTCGGATCCTCAAAGTGCTTTGCACGAGCAGGTCCCGCATAGGCATCGAACAGAGGAACAAAGACTCTTGCAGGATCATTCTTGGGCATGGTTGGCGGATGAGGCTTCTCCCAAGGACTGAGCCGAAGATCAATTGCTCCGTAAAAGTTCGTAACGGCCTTGATGGCTGTCGGCCACGGAGCATGGCATGTCTCTTGCTGCGTCGCTGCAAGGGCTATATTACCTCCTGCAGAGAACCCGCTCGTGGTCATGAGAGTCGCATCTGCGCCCCATCGTTCCTCAGCGTGCTCCTGTAGCCACTTGATAGTTGCATCTGCGTCGTCAATAGCTGCTGGGAAGACGTGCTCAGGCGCTACACGGTAGTCGACATCCACGACCACAGCACCAGTCTCTTTGGCTACACGGTCATCGAACCGAGCATGGCCCTCTGGCAAGCCTCCGATAAAGGCTCCAGCGTGAAAGTTGACATGGAGCGGTCGCTTCGCCCTGCCCTTGCCTACACCTGCTGCCTTGAAGATCAAGGCTCGCACATAGCGTCCTGGGGCGATAGGTAGATATTCAACTGTAAATGGACGGTAAAGGAGACAAGGGATAGTCGCGATGGAGTAGGTGAGAAGAATGACAGGCTGAAAGACAAGCAGTCGCCAGCGATAACTCCAAGGGAGATTGCGCTGAAAGAGAGCTGCAAGAGTGGGTCGAAACCACGCGTGTAAGTGATGCAAGATGATCGAGACCATCCTACCAAGGTCAAGAAGGTTCAGTTTCGTGAGATTTTTGGTTCCATGAAAAGGTTATGTTCAAGATGAATGAGCTGAGGTCGTTGCGAGATATATGAGGTACAGTCTGTAAGCGGCTTAACATCACGCCGAATGAAGGACAACGCCAAGCATTCCAACCTGATTCGTTCATATGTAAATGTCGATAGCATCACTTTCTGGACTCGTCGTGTCTGAGCTAATAACTGATTCGACACCATTTGTACCTGGTCGTTGGATTTACCTGGTTGTCGACGCTTGACTGAACCTTTTATGAGCGAAGCTTTACCCTTGCAGCAACTCAAAACTCCCACTCAGCCATGGGCAACTTCATGTCCGCACTTATATAGCCTCCCTTATGTCTAGCAGCAAACTTCCATACCGAGCCATTTTATGTACGGCCACCTACAAAAGACCCTACAAAAGACTGCTGTGCTCCCACTTGGGAGGTTCACCCATCGCTCTCTGGACAACCTGGTTTATCACCAACGCAACAATGGATCACAACTCGATATTGGATCTCAACGCAGGAGCAAATTGGTTCTCTATGTTAAGAAAGGGGAGGCCTATGGTACTGGGATCTCACCCTAGAGAGCCTCAACCTGCAAACGCCTTCCTTGCTCAGATGCCCCTCGATGTCCTGCTCGTCATCGCCAGCTTCCTCCCATTGCACGCAGAGCTCATCTTCACCCATACCTGCGTGGCCGTGAAAAAAGCGCTTACGCGCCCCCGAAATGCCGAACGACGGCTGGACTGGGACGAGCACTTGGAATATCTGACCGCTGTCATCAGCAATCGGACTGATAGATGGGTTTGCGATGATTGCGATCGAACCCATCCCACCTATATGGAAGATACACCCCGAACACCAATGGCCCCGGATTGCTACCGTTTGAAATTCTTTCAGGTCGAGAACCCATGGACCGAGCCTTTCAATCTCCCAAGTCACCGACACGTTCAACTTGCGCTCAAATATTCTCGTCTTAGGCCTCAAAGTACCCAGGAACAGGTACATCTCGATGAGCTACTAAGGCCAGGTCATCTCATGGAAACTATTCACGCTTCTCCAAGCCCAACATGTGATAGAAGCATCAGGCTTGAGCAATACTACTACCCCAAAGTTGCCCATGGCCGATACCCTCATTCTTTACACTTGCACGTACACTCCGCTAGAGGGTTGTTCGGGCGTGTCACTAATTCTACAAGCTTGTAAGCATCTGAGCGTCCGCTTCTACCGCCGCGAGAAGGAGCTGTCAGTGTTACACCACGAACATTTCACCTTGGCCCTCAATCTGAATTCGCCTCTCTCACCGAGGATATTCAGAGCAAACAAAGTCGACTGGTCCTGCCCAGATTGTGCCACAGACTTGGAGGCACATTGGAACGGCTCGTCGGTGACGATGAGGGTCTGGCGGGATCTGGGAACCGAGGGATGCCCGTTCGCAACGGTTTGGAAGCGACAAATAGGCGACTATAGATGGGGCTGGTCTAAGATTCCGACGGATAGACAGTGGAGGAGCGTCCGCGAATCTTATGAAAGGGGCGAGCAGCAGTAAGAAACAAGCTTAAGTCTTTTTTGAGTCAGGCTGGTAGTCGAGAGTACGTCTGGGATTGGATAGTCTGGAGGCTATAGTGTTTAAACCAGAAGAACTAGATTTGCTCACTAAAATATCATTAAATATAGACGCAATTATTTCTGATCATTTACTCATCCCATAAGATATAAAGCCAAACTTGAGCTTCAAGTGCTCATCCTTTGATCCTTTGCCTCGTCCTAGACATTTATAGAATAGAGTATGGCAATTCCGCTGTATCAGTTCTAATCTCATCATTATGTAGGACTGTCCGGGTGAAAAGGGGGGACAAATTCTCCATTGCTCCCGAGATAATGGACCTGTGTGCTCGGGTTCATGCTCAATGACTTGCAGACAGACCTAACCCATCCATCTGCCGTGCCTGTTTTATATACAACAACAATGAACTGTCGGGGAAGTATAAGAGAGCCACAGCGTTTGGGCAGCGAGAACTATCAGGTATTAGCCATGATTCTGCTAGTTGGGGCTGCTACTCACCTCGTGGAACATGGCAAGGATCTCCTTGGCCCCCTCGACCGTCTCTGGGCACCACAATCGCTGCCACGTCTGTCCGTCTTCTGCTTCGATCTTGACTGGCATTTCGGCTAAAAGGCCTTGATCAACAAGGTAGCCGACTCCAGAAGGTTCAGGCTCAGAATGTCCACGAATCGTAGTCCAGAAGCGATATAGCTTCCATGGAACTGTGATGCAGAGTACCGTAGACTGCCATCTGGAAGAGTCCTCACCCACTCTTATCAAAGACTCGGCGCATAGAAGATCGAGATTCTTCTCACATTCATCATGTGTGCAGTTTTCAGTCATATTCCAGGCGAATAAGCCTCCTAGACCTCGCGCAAGTCCCTGGCGGAGGTCGTAGAAGTCCAAGTCTGTGACCAAGTCTGTGATCGTCCGAGTTATGAAGGAGACTCTTCTCACCAAGTGATGGGCCTTGCATTCATTGGATAACGTGGCGAGGCCTGGGTTACTCTGGAAAGGTTTCCAGTCTCGTTCAAATGCAAGACCTATTGAGTCGCTCCTCGGAGACCGGAAGTTCTGGCTGACACCACTGCCCCATTCCGCTGGATTCATGGTCAAGACTTCAGGACCTCCACGTGTAGCCTGACCGAAGGAGCCTGCTGCAATTCGCTTGCACTCATTTTCAATAGCCGGCTCTAGCTTCTTGAGAATGGCATTCGACGTAGTATATAGCTGAAGATCTTCTTCGGGCTGTGTTCGGTCTTGAACCTCGATGGCATCGTCAAGATGAACAGTGGTGTTGGAAGAGTTGGTTCCTTCTTCACTCAAAGAATCGATTTCTGAGTCGGTCTCCGAGTCTGAGTCTGAGTCATAGGCTTGTTCGAATGGAAGCCTCTGAATCGATGGAGTTGCGACTGGAGCAGCCGCGATTCTGTTACTTGGATGGCTTAGGGTGGTTTGTGTACCCTGGCTCACAGTTGTAGATGAGCCAAGACGGCTCTCCATGGTAGAGCCTGCCAGCAATTGTTAGAGATGATATGCTTTATCTCACTGGACGAAACTAGACACATACCTTCGAGCAAGCCTCGTACCCACACATCGCTCCTAAACTCCTGGAAATCGCTGGTCATGCTGACTTCTGTTGTTCTGCTCACAACACTTCCAGTCGCCCACTCACAACAGACGCTTATAAGGTCGTCAGTTTTCTCAGCCAGATCACTGACAGCTCTGGCGCTTTCCATCTGAAAGTCATCCGCTTCGTGATCCTGGGGCCTCTTCAGATGTTCCTCCAATTCTTGAAATCTGTGTCGAATCTCCAAAAGCTCCCGGACACATGTGGCCTGCGACTCATGGATGTTCTCGAGGGTTTGGGACTGTGCCTTGAAGGCTTCGGAATTGGTCTTGTTCTGGCGGTTGAGCTCCTCGTGGATGCGACTGACAATGATCCTGTGAGAACACCAGAGTTAGCATGACGGTCTTCAGACTGTAGTCGTTGAACTGCAAAACGTACGTGTTGATGTCTCCAATCCACTTTTGCACCTTTCTTCTGTGACGGCGCACTGACTTAAACTGATGCCGAAGCTCGTCGATGATGATACCCATCTCCTTCTTATCATCTGTGTCTTGAAACTGCTCAAGATACTCGAGTGTCTTGACTAGAGCATCTTTATACTCTCCGCAAAGTGATGTTGCTGCGCTGAGAACCCGGTCGTCCGGGTCATCAGACCTCTTCACCCTGTCGATGCTCCTTAGGAGCTCATCCCACATCTCCAGCTCCTCTTCCAGCTGCCTGAATACCTTGGGGTCTTTAGCATCTCGGTTTGCTTTAACTAATTCGTCAATGACCTTCCAAATGCTGGAGTGTAGAGTCTTTATGCCTGGGTAGACGACGGAGATGAGCCCAACGGCACCAATGGCGAGCTCTACCACCATCTTGTAGGATCTTTTGGCAATTTACAGTTGAATATTATAGACAAGATGACTTCGTATCGTTAAAAGACATAAATATCCGAAGACAGAAGACTGCTAATGGGAGTCTCCAGACTTCCTCGAGCGGGGTTTATATGCCTTTCCATAGTGTATCAAAATGAGGCTGGCGTACCCTCCAAGTTGCTTGCTGCAGGGTGAGTTGTCTGTCTGCCCTGCGATATACCTGCAGAAATCGAGTCAATGTTTCACTCTAGCCATTGGGAAGGCATCCGAGTCTCGAGGCAGTGTCTAGCTGCTGCAGTTCATAGCCCCAGGCTGACATGATGGTATATCGGTGAACTTGTAGATGGACTAAAGTGTCTTTGTACAGGACACTGCATGCAGCTGCGTAAGCTGTGCGTGACATCAAGTCTGAATACCGCATCAAATGACAAACAAATGCATGCAATGGGATGAATTTACACTACTTGGCTAATATCCAAGGCATAACGTGCCAGTAATCCCAATCGTCACGCATCTCTTGTTCACGCCCAATGGCTTCATAATAATCATTTCCCATATCTAAGATGACATCCACAAAACGAACCATTCTCAACAATAAATCATCCTAGCCAGCCACTCAGATCTTTATCCTTATCAATCTCTGATCCTCATTAATCCCAAACCGCCACGGAGCCCATGGTGCGGCCCGGTCCCTGCGGCTGCATCCCTAGCGGCCCGCCAAACCGATCCCTCGGGTCGTGTTAGTCGAACGTCGGCCCTTCAGTGTGAGTGGAAAGACATCTCGGGAGACCAGGGTTCAGTACGGTCGGAATACGAGGAGTGGACTTCATGTGCTTGATTATAAAACATCAATCGTGTTTTCTGCAGACTTGACGAGCTGCTGATGGGTTCCCTATCAGATAGTCTCACAACTCAATGATTCCTAGAGATAATGTCCAACTCAATGAACCTCAAAACAGCAGAGACAAGGAAAAGGATAGTTGGTACAATTCCAAATGCCATATATGCTTATTCGTTTCCAAACCGGACCTTTATAAACCGCCCAGTTGTTTAACACACAGTAATAACCTCTCCTCCAAATGACGCCGTGCCACGCTATGTCAGGTTCCCAGACCCCATGACTGAAACTCCAACCGCTTGCCAAGTCGTGACAATTTCAGAAAATAAAAAACATGCAAATAGAGATTGTATAAATAGGTGTTATGGTTGTTGCGTATTCGATTGTTGTGTACTGGATGGTTGTGTATCCGGCAGCTGAGTATTCGAGTGTGATCGCGATCGGCCACCAGACTCTCCCGATCCTGGCCGGTGAGTGTCTGTCTGGCCCACAAAATGATCGTTCGGCCCGTGGAATCCATGCATCTCCTCGTTTACGATACTCAGATTGCTCTGGCCGAGGGATTCGCTTCGTACTCGCTGTCCGCCAGATAGACGTTGAGTCACGGGTGGCCGGACTGGGGCGCTGATGGTGCTGCTGGAGGATCGTCTTCGCTCGTCCAGAGGAGGGAATGCGACAGATGAAGGCGAGCTTGGTAATTCCGGTAACCAAGGTATTGCTTCAAGTTCCATTGGAGGAGAATTTGGCATCACCCTAGGAGTTCCGTCAGAATTCTCAGAAGCGTTACTCCATTGTCGAACGTGAGTGTAAGCGTGTGTATCGGTACTTGAGCGGTTCCTCGTTGACGCCGAGACTGAGCTGAATCGTTGTTGACCAACAGCTGCCGCATTAAAGTAATCTTCCCGGTTGCCCATAGCATCAAAGCTGGTGTGTCGGCTATTTCCCGCGCTGCCCGACACTGGATGGTAGCCTTCCGCTCCAGGCGTGGGGTTGTTGGAGCTCGGATCGGGGCTCGCCAGGTTGTATGGTGAAGGGGTCCCGGAATCCGGACCGGGGTTTGCTGGTCTTGGAGGAGGGGCTATCAACGGGTTGGCGCTCCACTCATCGACTTGTGAGTCTGTCGACTTGAACTCCTTCACAGGTGGTCGTGCCGTGGAGCGATTAGAGGGTTCAGACACCTTTGAGGTGCTGACAGCTTGGACAACCTTGTTCAGATGTCGGATGATGATGTATGCCGCCACCAACACGATGATTAGAAATCCAACAGAACCGGCTACGATGCCCACAAGTGTTGTTGTTGGGAGTCCGCCGCCGCCCTTATCGTCGTCGTCCGCAGTTAATGTTGGACTGCTCTTGGGAATAGCGGAAGGGAAGAATTTGAGGACCGCCTGGTTTTCATCGCTACCGTCGCGGACGGTAGGAAGTTCCGTGGGCATGGTTGGAGTCGAGACAGTAACGTCGGTTGTTCTGTAAGTCGTTTCGGAGCCGTCTTCGGTGGCGGTGATAACGATGGTATTCGTGATCGTCACGGGTTTTGTAGAATAGCACTGGTTAACACCGCAGGCCATACCGCTGTTGCAGCACCCATAACTCAGTGAAGATGGGCAGAGATACTGGCTCGCCGGGCAGCCGTACGTATATGCCACGCCCGCCGGTGGGAAGCAATTACCGCCTGTACTGCACACATAACCGTCCGGACAGCATCCCGCTACTATATGTAAGCCTTGGTCCGTAAAGAGTCTCGATAAAACCCACCTCCGAAGACGGCTTCGCATTGGTACCATCCAACCCTCGTTCCCTGGCATGTCACAGGGCCTTTCGTAACCGCAAAGCAGCTTTCCTTTGCGCAGTCGTAGCCTTCCGGGCAACATCCACCGTCGAGACTGGACGCGCACAACTTCTCGCCCGCGCCGCACTGTTCCTTATCTCGTCGGTTCAACACAGCGGGCGCTGTGATCTGTGCCTTCTTCTCGACCCGGTGAACTCCATCGTGTCTCCTGTAGTCGGCCGCCTCAATACTGGTGGCCCAGAGGGCAGCTAGTAGCAAGGCGACACACGAGCGACACCCCCAGTTCCTCATCTCGTGCGCTCATGGAACTGAGGGGGATGCGACGTCGATGAGAGAAATTTCGCGAAACCGTGTGGGACGCAGATCATGGACGAATTTGCCAGCCGGGTAATTAATTTCAGCTCCTCAAATCGGGCTATTGTCGCAAGTGCTCAATAAAGAGGGCGCTGGAGGGACGTGGGCTGGATCGATGGGTTTCGGCTCGCGACAACCACCGCAAATCAAATGCGACAACTTTCAATATTCACACAGGATAAATTAAAAATGATGAAAGAAGAGGAAAAGGAGGGAAGAGTCAGATGTAGCGAGAGATTCCAAACCGTCAGCAATGGAGGCCTTAGAGGCTTATCCGTGGCCGGGGGGTGTCAAGGGATGCTACGCCACGGGGGAGCAGCAGAGGCTTCTGTCATCCTAGAACTCTGGCGTCTATAGGGCTGAGCGAAAAGTCCACTGAACCGTAGGCGCGGGTCGTTTTGGTTGGATGAACAGGTTACCCGAGCACCCAGCGCTGTCCTGAGACGTGAGAAATAATTCCTCTTCAGGTTACCGCCATGGGTCCGACGTGGAGATTGATGAGGGCCCAGAGTGAGAAATGGGACGGTGAGTGAACTGAAGATGACCAGACTAGAAAACGACAGCGAAGAGTAAGCGATGAGAAAGACACGCGGCGGCTCAGGTTCCTGCGGGGACAAGCCAAGCTGAAACAGAACCGACACCATCAATCGTGAGCCGCAAGAGCATCAGAGACAAGAGGCGCAGGCCATGCGGCACTACCGTCGCTGGATATTGCTCGCAAATCGCATTCGTCCGGGTTGTTGGTGTCGCAGCAGCAGAAGCACGTCTTGGATTCGTCGACGGAGCACCGCTCCAACCCTCCTCTCGTTGTTTCTCTATTCTCATCTCCATCCTCCGCTGCACGTCTACTTCCGCCATTGGCCGGCGGCATGAAGCTCGCAAGCTCTAGCGGTAGGCTGTGGGCATAGAGGTGTCCTCGCTCGGAAAGATGGTGCGCCTGGTGCATTGGCACTGCTACCGTGGCAGCCATTGAGAGGCCTTGTTGGTCTACTTGTCAGACAAGGCCACGAATCAGAAGACCTATACGGGGCAGACCCAGGTCGATAATCGACAACGAGGGCCTCATTCGACACCGAGTGCTGGGATTTGGGGGCCGAGAACCTCATGCGCAGGAGACTAAGAGTAGAAGTGGTGTTGCGAGGCGTTGCGTTGGTTCAAGGTTGTGATGAGGTGCGCATTTCTGCCGTGGTTTGTGCCGTGTCAGGTGACCACCTTCAAAGGCAGGCTGTAATTCCATTGTGAGAGATAAATGAGCTTCTCCCCATAATAACGCACCATGAGGATGAGATGCATACCTGCCACTCTATTAACTAGGCTTTCTCAAGAAGGCAACATGACTACATGATGCTTCTCGCGAGTTTTATTACATGCTCCACTCTCGCTCGCTTCTTGCTGACGATGCCCTCTTACGTAATTTGTCACCTCTTGGCGGACCTCTTTCCAGTCACGTGTTTGCTCATTTTAAATCCCCCAAATGCTTGCCCCATCTTTCTTCTTTTCTCCACACCACCATCATCATACCCAATCAACGCAACAGTTCGCTTCAGTGCTACCATCAGTCCCATCGCCGTCCTATTATTGAAACATCGATTCAGAATGGCTCATCTTCGCGCGATGCTTCGTCGCATCCAGACGCTTCCCCCAAGATCATCCTCAGCTTTCGGAGCACGCAGAAGATTTCATTTACCTCCTTCTCTTCCTACTCCCAACAAAAGAGAACCAGCAACTGCGCAGGAGATACGCGACATTCTCAGAGAGGACAGAGCCGAAGAGCAGCGCGCCCGCAGAGAGCACGAAGAAAAAGAGGAGCAGGCGTTTCGAGCACTACCATGGTGGAAACGATACTTTAAGACCGCTGTCAAATCAGCAATCCTTCTTCGAGGTTCGTAGGGAGCCTTGTCTGATTGCCTGGTAAGTACACCTATTCTCCCATAAATCATACATGCGCTGATATTTCTAGTCTACTTATCGCTCTACCCGGAAGTCCAATAATCCCAAGGAAGACGATGATGACGATTTTGGTGATGATGACTGAGTAGTACTCTACACTTGGTCATGTCTGGTCGTGGACAAATGGGTGTATTGGGGATTGAAAGCTGGACTGGTCATTTCTGGGGTGATGGGATACTTCTTTAATAGATAGTACACCATGGAGAATCATGAAATGCTAGGCTGGGAGTCTAGATAGCGAATACACAAAGCGGTCATGACCCCGAGATAATAACTTGTTTTCATGACGGCGCAAAAGCTTCAACAAGGGGCCGGTGGAGGCTGGAGCGATGACGATCCGGGGGATGGCTTACCGGCCTAGGAAGGCAAAGGGACTTTGGGTTGACGCTTGGAGCCGATGAAACCACACGCCGAGAAACTGCGGACCTCGTGGATTAATTAATGAGGGGCATTTTATCGCGTCCTTTCCCACGGGTCTCGAGGTGCTTCCTCCAAACTTTCTTCAAGTTCGAACTTGAAAGAATCATTTTCCAGGTCTACCCCAAGAGGAACTCTCACCACGGTGAAACCTGATCGCCGATGTGTCGGTCAAGGTGAGGGCCCTAAAAAGTGTTCCAGAAGCACGTCGTCAGGGTTTTTCCTTGCGACAGGGGCCAAGGGGAATGGATGAGGTTGGCTTCTGATTAGATCATGAGATGAAGCCGCGGTTCATCAGACCAGATCGCGTCACATCACATCAACGCCCGCTGCCGATTCTGCTTGCGGGCGGTCGAATGCCCATGCTGAATCGCAAACCTCGTTCAAAATACCGCGCGAACGCAGGAGGCGCATCGTGAGTCTACCCGTCCACACACACTCACTATGCTCCATTTCCTCGTGGCTGCATCGGGCATCGGGTCGGGGGCCAAGCTTTGTGCCGCGGTCCTCGAGCCGTGGTTCGTGAATGCCTGGTCGGTCAATGTGACAACGGACAGGGTCCTCCAACCATTGTTGCATGGTGGTTAGTCAAAGTCAGTGACTCCTCACTCCAGGAAAAATGGTACACAGTTGGCAATGAGAACTTTGTCGGGTCATAGAGATGTGATTTAGAGCAAAATAAATAAATGCAAGTACAAAATAAATAAAATATCCTCTAAAGTCTCAACATCTCAGCTTGGGTTTATAACCATACGCCTTACATCTTGTTATTTTGCGGATTGAATACTTACCTCCTCGGGGGAGATGTGTGCCATTCCCCCCCTTGGACCACTACCTCTTACGTAGGTACTGTAGACTCCCACGCTGGACCCTGAGCCAGTCTCCTGTACCTGTGGCCTTCTGGAGCTCTCCCGTCTCCAGATCGTCGCTTCGAGCCCGTGTTTCGTGTGATCGGCCGTCGCCGTCGCAATCCCCCTCTTGGCATCGCCATCACTCCGCATTTTGGAGTCCGGTTAACACTCAGACACTGCAAAGAGCTGCTCGAGGCACTGAGACAATGTCTCACGGCTGTTGGGTCCAGAAGCGTCTTGACCCCCATTTTCTTTTTTTCCATTCTTCTGCTGCAATGGCTTCTCGTCTGCATTGTCGGTCAGCAGAGGGGGTCCACCCAATATTTTCTTGAGGGCCGGCTGTAGTATTCCTTTTTGTTCCTGCGCAAGCGAAAACATCAAACTTTGCCCCATTGTCACTCATCAAACCATAGGGGCGACGATCGCCCCTTTCCATCATTTCCCTATCCAGACGGGACGGTTTCCTTCATCTCACCTGTCGATGATCTGGTCTCTTGCAACATCAGAATCGGGATGGGTGCAGCCGAATGGCAACCAGAAACGCGGGGGAGGCAGCGGACGGCAGCGCCCATGTGTTAGATGGCTTGCGAATCGACCAGGTTTCCCTTTTGCCGCGCCTGTTAGGATGGGTAGCCCATCACCATTTCAAACCCAAATAGGCTGGGCGCCGGCCGTGCAATGCTCGTTGACTCAAGGCACCATGCAACGTGCCGAGATGGCAGCTTCTTTACCCCGGATTTTCCAAGACGCTGGGGAAGGCAATGCCAGGGCCAGGTGTTTGTGATCCTTTTCGATACTGCAGGGACTTGGAAGATGCTTGAAGGACAGGTTGTACTTGGCGATTGATGCCATCCTCTGCTACTTCTCAGGAATTTAACGTTTGAGCTCGGGAAGTCGGATTTCGGGTGGCGTTCTATGAGGGCCCAAAAGAGGATCCCATTGATGCAGCTGTCAATTCAGTGTTGGAGGAAAAGTCACCTGCTCGCGGGAGCGGGGGCGTGGGCGTACTGTGAGAGATGTGATAGACACTATGCTAACACTGTACTCTTCACACAATCTCAACAGTCTACACAGTCCCAATATCACAAACCCCCTGCTGCCACGAGGCTCCTCCAACTCTCCCCGGTCCACCCGTCGTCAACCAACCCCTGCAACGTCGTGGTGCTCATCCCCCCAAACCTTCCCCCAATGTTGCCCCAGAGCTCCCCGTAACGTAAAATCTTTCAGGGGCTCCAGCTTGCTCCAGTTCCCAGGCCCTCTCCAGTTCTTCAGCGGTCACTCGAGTCAACTGCAACGCCCGTAACCCCGCAAGCTAACGGAGCTTCACTTGGCCCGACAGGGCAAAGGTGTCCAGGGATCGGGCAGGGATGGCCCATGATTACCCACGGTCACGATGGTGTGCAGAGATGGATGGGATGGGAGCCGGACGGGACCCAAGCAAGCCAAGGTCCTTCTGTTGGTGTGCTTCTTGGGACCGAACCATGACGCCCCCGAGACGCGCGAGGCATCCATTTTTGGTTCCTTCCATCTTCTTTTCCTCCTTCTTTTTCTCCCGCTGATTCCTTTTTTCCTCGAGGGCATCCGTCTCAAGACTCACTCAACTCAAACACCAAGACGAGGTTGGACTCGACATCGCCAAGATCTTCGCTCCGTCTCCCGTCTCCCGCTTCCCGCCTCCGCGCGCCCTCTCCACGATCCTCGGCTTCGTCTGGTTACTCCCGGACTTTATTTTCCCCCTCCTCCCTCCCCACACCCACGTAAATCAGTTATTCGATAGCACCGCCATCGTCCGACCCTCGGCTTCCTTTCCTGTTCCAAGACAAATAAATCCTCTAACTGTCTTGTGTATGGGCGCCTGCAGCTTCTTGATCAGATCGCCTCTGGTCTTCTTGGACGAGACCATGCTTGATTGCCTCTGCTAGACGGCCGGATGGAAAACGCCTGATTGATTATCTGATCCTTTGATCGCCTCGCCACCAACAAATCTCCATCATGTTGCTGTACACTCGACTCGCACCGCCCAAGGTCCCCAAAAAGCGCTCGCGCGCAGGTACGTCAAAGCCCCTACAGCGCAGCGCATTCTGTTCCACCGCATTCTCCATGTTATAAGCATAAAACGAACGTGGCTGACTTGTCATGGATGATTCCTCGGCGCACAGGATGTAGTTATTGGTATGTTCCATGATCCACCCCTGCAATTCAAAATCGTCTCACTAACATTGCCCTTTGCAGCAAAGAAAAGGTGATTTCGCCCTACAAGACGGCCTTTTTGTGGTTGGTCTAACCTCTGCTATAGAAGAAGAAATGCAACGAAATTCGACCTGCCTGCGCGCGATGCCAGGAACGCGGCCAAGAGTGCGTTTACGAACCCGTTCGCCCTCGACAGCGGCGCAAGCGTGAGACCACCGCTTTCTCCCCTTTCGACACCAACTCCTCCTCTGGTTCAGACCGAGCTCAGCCCTTGGATTGCGACGTTCCAATCCGGCAATGGAAAGAGGATGGTCAGGATAAATCGGCCGACGAGGACTCGCTGGACGAGGAGGTTCCCATTGTGACGCAGCCACCCGTCTCCAGCGATCTCCCTCTGAAGGCCTCCCTCGTTAATCCCATGGATAACCTCCTGGGTTGGAGCCCTGGAGACCTGCCAGTCGTGTCCCCGATTGACTCGATCGATTTCCAATTGCCTGTATTTGACGATTCAGGCATTGCCGTTCAACACATTGAGAACAGCGAGGAGGAGGATGTCGAGGAGGTAATCCGTCGCGAATCCATCATCAGCATTCCTACTACGACCTACGCTGCGACCTACTCCAATGCGTACGCGCCTCAAAGCCCCTCTCTGGCCCTCATTGCGCCTGTCACAGCGCCGTCTCCACGATTCGAATTTTATTCTCCGATATTCTCCGAGTTCTCCGACCGTACCAACAGGCGCGCCCTGGTAGACCACTTCTGCAATGTCTTGTCACATCTCATTGTTTTCCGGGAGGAGCGCGGGAATCCTTTCCAGCAGCTTGTTCTCCCGCTCTGCCAGGACAGCCAGGCCGTTACAAACGCCGTATTTGCTCTAGCAAGCGCTCACTTGGAATATCGGGGTGTCACCAATGACGAAAAGAGCGTTTATTTCCACAACAAGGCCATTCAAGGCCTTGCGCGGTTGATCCAAAAGGGAGCAGGAGTTAATCGAAATGAACTCTTGGCAGCCATCATGCTTCTGGTTTACTACGAAGTGGTGAGTAAAGTCTTGGCATCTCTAATTCGCTTACTAACAACGTCATAGTTGGTTCAGAAAGGCCGATCAAACATTGTCGATGGCCATCTCAAAGGTGCCATGACCATCATGAGCCACAATGAAGCAGCCACTGATCCCACGGGCATCTTTTTGGAACGAGTATGTGACTCTTTAGTGGCCATGCTCTATTTGTACAAATTACTAATACATGGCAGGCGTTCCGCTTCTATGATGTGATCGCAGCACTCTCATTTGGCACCGCTCCCCTCGGCAGTGCCCCAGGAGCCAACTACCTTACACCGTTCCCTCCTCTCGATTCAGGTGGTGATATGTCTCCTCTCAACAGCGTCGACACTCTACTTGGAATGGCTACTTCCCTCTGGCCTATTATTCATCGCCTCTCGAACCTCCTTGCTCTCAAGGATCAACTCGATGCTGCTGTTACGAACGGAGAAGTGAGCAAGGTTGCGGTTCTCCGGACGGAATTCGAAATCTCGGCGTCAGCTATCGAATCCGCTCTTGAAGAATGGCATCCTGCTCTGCCTGAAGGCTCAGTCCTCGGCCAAAACCCCGAGGAATTGACTCCTGAGCAGACGACAGAAAGGAGTCGACTACAGAGCATCCTCAGCAACGCTCTTTCTTACCGTCATTCTGCCTTTGTCTACCTCTACCGCACCATCTATAGCTACCCACGCAACCACCCGCTCGTCCAACGCCACACTCACATTAGTCTCACTCACTGTGTGGGAACCGTCAGCAATACCGGCCCGATGAGCGCCCTTCTCTGGCCACTCTTTGTGGCAGCTTGTGAGGCTACCACACTTGCTGACCGTGACCTGGCACGTCAAACCTTTATCGCCATCAACCGTCGGCAGGGTATGACAAATATTGAGCGTGCGTGGACAATCGCGCAGGAGGTATGGCGGCGTGCGGACAAGACCGAGATGATGCATCAGCAAGAGGAGGCGACAGCCATGGGCGTCAGGAGCGGCGGAGATCTATGGAGGAGAGTGAGCGCTGACATGGGGGTAACGATTGTTTTTGGATAAGCAAGCAGCGAGTCGGGGATGCTTTTAAGGGTGGCGGACTGGTGATACCCATCCAGCGAATTCACAAGCTGGACACTTTGGAGTTGAAGGAAACGGACCGATACAGGTTTAAAAGCTATGAAATGATGGAATGGCGTTGGATATGTAGGGTCGAGGCTCTACCAATGAAGCGAATAGGAAGGCTATCTGATTTAGCTTGTATGTATGTACAAACTGGCGGCAACAAGTCCAGCTATGGAATATATTGTCTTGCTTTGTACCATGATGAGTCTCGATGCTTGTCTGTGGATCTCGATCTCGGTCGCCACTGCAAGTCGAGGATAACTCTCCAGCAGGCGAGTGAGATTGAGCCAACAGCACTCCATAACATGACTGTGCATGATGATCTGCATGGGCAGTGCATCTTGTCATTTATCCGGTCCCGGGCAGTTGGATACAAGCAAGCTTGATACTTGATTGAAACATGAACAGACTTTGACTTGAACTCGTAAGATGTCCGTTGCCATTAGCTAAAATATGCCCTCATAACCAGCCTCTATCCGTATCTGATTCATAGAGGTTGGGAGATGTGAAGCCACAGGAACTCGACATGCACAATGTGACTAACAAGATGACATGAAGGTGTGACAATTGGCTGTGCCCTCCCCGCAAACAACCTAATCTGAACTCAATGGCTCGGGGCTCCGCTGTCTTTTGTCCGGACTCTGGAACCCCATTGTCTGAGCCATTCGGCTTACTCGGGGTGGCTGCCGGATGGCGGGATGGGACAGGTGGTCTAGCGCCGTGGGAAGAGCACGCTGCCAATCGATGGCATCCGAGTTCCTGAACTAGGGAACCGAACCGAACTCTCCCCCAACAACTTCATGTCACACTCGAAAGGGGAAGAGAAGAGAGGTGCGCTTACGGAGGCTCATCTTTAAGGGAGGGGAAGGGGGTGTTCACCGTTTGTTTCTTTTTTTCCCTAGCGGCTTCGCGTGACCATGTGTTGAGGATCTGGGGCTAGCAAAGACTGCATATCCTGCGCTTGGGCATCGAAAACGCCCCGAGAGAGAACGAGGTGCAGCACACGTCTTCTCGACAGCCTTGTCCGGGTAATGGAATCCATGCAGATATGAATTGGAAAGACATTATTGGATACGATCAAGGCCCCCCCCCCCCCCTCGCGAGAGAAGGAGCTTTTTGGGCTTGCATCTTTCGTGGTACAGCCATGCAGCGAAGCCATCGTGGGTGTGTGTCTGGGGGTGAGGTGGTAGTGCAGGTCTGGTGGTCACTTGATGTCGAGGGGGTGAAGGAGTGCGCGGGCCGTTATAGGAGGGGGCCCAGACGGGAAAAGCAAAGGTAGCAAAGTGTGGAGGAGGGGGAAAATCGGCGGCCGGCGAAAGGAGGAGAGAGGAGGAATCAAGGCTAAATGTTGCCACCGAGGTGCCCTCTACCGACATAATTACCCAGGTAGGCAAGTTGATCGAGTTGTGATTTGTGCTGCCTTGTTTTGTCAGCTTTGTTACTGTTGGTTGCAACAATACACGATCATGTCCTTCTTTCTGCCTTGACTGACGATACTCTTTCAAACTCTCCCTTCTATCTGTCTGTTTTGTTGTTGGGACATAGACCGAGGCTGTCTCCGTGTAATCGAAGCAAGGTGTGTTGCGTCTGTACTTGATCACTTGAGCTTCAGTTCCTTCCTCCTCTCCACCCTAGCACTCTACCCCCACCCGCCTAAGGCAACGCCGTCTCCGGCCTCCCTCTCCACCATACATTCTTCCATCAAAGTCATCTCCAACCACTCTACCAGATTATTTTTGCTATAATCCATCAATCTTCATCCTTTCTCTCTCGTACAAGAAAGTGTGTCTTGTCTAAACCCATATCCATCCATCTCCACATCCCTGCTCCAACGACTCATCTTTCCCGTGTCTCGGATGTCGTGTCTCTGAGATTCTTAGCCACAAACTTCTTGTCCTGTTTCTCATTCGCGTCACCTGTCTATATCTTTGGCCTCCTTCATGTCCTTGGTTGATTCAACGCGCCCAACCCCGGATATGCTGCTGGGCTACTGTCGCGCCCTAGTCTACCTCTAACACTCTTGTTCAACAGCCTGCTACAAGAAAGACACCACATTAACCATTCCTTCAGAAAGCAAACTCAACAGCCAGCAACTCAGCGTCTTCTCGCCTCCCTTGCATCTCATACCTTGGGTTGCATTGACAGACGTTGCTGAGCCACAACCTGCAACAGGCCTGGAAACTTGCCGACCCCGCTGGTCAGCTTCCTTTCCTGCTTGTCACTCGTCACACCTTGTCCGCCTGTGCTCCGTTGCTCCATCTTGCGCCGGGCCCGTCGACATCCACTCCAACATCCGCATCCGCGCCCGTCTCCGCACCCTTAGAGAAGAACCACCATGTCCTAGCCATGAGCAACTTGAATACATCGGACTCCGTTCCGCCGCCACCGCGTCCGATCCGCTTCGTTCATAACCAAGGACAACCTCCTTCCAAGCGTCGCCGGATCAATGCAGCGTACGTCGTTCCCCTGTCTCCTATACTTGCCTCGTCTCCCGATCTTCCCGCTGCCTATCTGTCGCGTCACTATTGGTGCTTGTTCGGTCGCCTTGTTATCGTCTTGCTATCTCACCCCTGGACTAGACGGCTGAAGCCTTGTCAACTTGTTGCTGACTTCGACGCGAATCAGGTGTTTGACCTGCCGAAAACGGAAGACGAGATGCGCCGGCGAAAGACCCTTCTGCTCTACTTGCACCAAGAACCACCACCGATGTTTGGGATATCCTGAGGAAATAAAAAAGGAGGATGGCGAAAAGCAAACACCTATATCGAAACCCGACCATGAACGCGACAACCATGAATCACACGATCACCACGAGGACGAAGATGAGATCGAAAAGCCCAACCTCCATGTCCAGCGCACTCCCGACGCTCCTGTTCCGCAAATAATCCCCCAAACAACCTCCGAGGCTACTCTACCACCCTCGAAACCCATAGTCGAAACTCCTCATGACGACGATGTACCGAGTTTACGTCCATACCATGGCCAACCTCTGTCCTTAGCCGCCGACCTTCCGCTCTCTCCCACCACGGTCCGTCGCTCCGAGAGTCACCGTGTGCCGTACTTCCGCTACTTTGGCCCGACTGCTATTGTTCCTGGCTTCAAACAAATGGTTGTCTCGGTCCGCGATCGCCGCCGATCTACCGCTGGTTCGATGGCTGGAACGTCGCCCGTGTCAACGCATAGTGGCGCATTAGGAAGCAGCTCTGCTGCGGATAGTGAAGTCATTGGCGATGATCTACCAACCTACGACCCCAACGACACGGCACCTGTTCATCCGTTGATCATCAGTCTCGTCAAGACCTTCTTTCTCCAGATGGGTTCCAGTTATCCGTTCCTCAAACAGGCGAGGTTCTTGCGCATGGTCAAGGAAAAGAGAGTTGAGCCTATACTAGTTGATTCTATATGTGGCTTGGCTGCAAGGTTCTCGGATGCTCCAGCCCTCACAAATGGAAACGACAAGATGCCGCGGACGGAACGTGGCGCGGTATTTGCGCAGAGAGCTAGACAGGCCACTGTTGACACTTTTCCATGCCCGACTGTGGGAGCTGTACAGGCCTGTCTTCTCATGGCATATGAAGGTTTTGGGGCAAGCCAGGACAGCGCTCTTTGGATGTATCTTGGCCTTGCCATCCGCATGGCTGTCGATTTGGGTCTACAAAAAGAGGTTGGAGTTCAGTATCAGGGTGAAAAAGACCCTCTGTATGCCCTTCACTGGAGCCGTCAGTCAGGTGAAGAGGAAAGTCCTCAGGCAAAGGCGGAGGGATCAAGCCCACCTAATCCTGAGGAGCAAAAGGAGGTTGTCCAGGAGCGGATGGATACATTCTGGGCCGTCTTCATTCTTGATCGCGTCATCTCTTCAGGGACAGGCCGGCCTGTAACGTTTCGTGACGACGACCTTGAACTCTCATTTCCTGAGCCCTCAATTGATCCGGTCACTCACTGGCCAGCGCCTTACCCCATCTTCCTCCAGATTATCCACCTCTATGGGCGCGTCTGTGATGCACTCAACAAGGTCCGCAATGCGCAGGATCTTAACAAGGAGACATGGGATAAACTTGGCGAAATGGAGCATGAGTTGACAAGACTCTACAAGGGTTGGGACTGGAGGTTGCAGTTCAACGTGAGCAACTTCAAGGCGTACCTTGGTATGGGCCAGGGCACCACATTCATCCTCCTGCACTTTTGGTTTCATGCATTGTTCATCATTCTTCATCAACCTACTCTCCTCACGCCTTTTGCTGAGCTTCGCAGCGAGCTGCAGCTATTGCCGGACAGCCGCGAGTTGAGCATGAGCAGCGCCAAGACGATTTGCGATATCTTATCTTTTGCAGACCTGATTGATCCCAAGAGCTTTATTGGGAACCCCTTCACCAGTCAGCCGATCTACATTGCTGCATGCGCCTTCCTTATGGAGTCGAGCGCCAATGCCTCCGAGTCTCCATCTCGAGCAAGTTCGCCTCCTGGCTCAAAGAGACTGGATGTGCCACAGTTGCCTGGCAGCAAGAGCCGAGATGCCAAGCCGTCGAGGCATTCTCTCCTGGCTTCAGCGGCCAACCAGAATTATCAAAAGTGCTACAATTCGCTCCAGCAGGTGCAGATGTACTGGGGTGGTGTCACATACATCCTCACAGCTTTAGACCAAAAGGCCAAGGGGATCTGGGACTGCGAGACATACACGACTGAAGAATACGAGAGCACCAAGTTGCCTCGCAGGGGCAGCAGCGCCGCTCTAAGCAACCCGTTCCCAAGGTTCGAGAATCAGGCTTCACCAAAGATGTCTGGGCCACCCATAGCGTGGAGCCTGGCAGGAACAGCCAACTCTCCCAACTCGAGCCTCACACTGATGTATCAAAATATTGATTCAGCCGCCATGTCGAGTGTGCAGCCAATGCAAGCGATGAAGGCGCCCAGTACCCCTCCAGGCAACATGGTCTATGACCCCATTCGTCAGAGCCTACCAGACTCGACAAGTTTGCTAGCGCCGGCTTATCCTCAACCCAACATCTCGGCGGTGAGACAGACTTCTCGGCCGTCTGTGCCCCGACGACATTCAAACATGTCAGCAGCAAGCGGGCAGAGTCGACCAACTGTCAAATTTGACGGGTTGCCCGAGGGTGATGGGACAGAGCTTTACGCAGGTCCAAAGTTTACACCTTCGAGCCAACAATCGAATGGTTTCGATGCCTACAGTGTCTCTCCACCAGCCGCAATGAGGGAGAATGGGGGAGTGAGCGTGGCCACAACGCTCTCAGGAGCAAACAATATGGCAAATGGCACGGCCAACATGTACTTTGGCCAAGCCAACTTTCCTTACCAAATGCCTTGGGCTGCTCCAATGGGCAACATGGATGCCATCACGTTTGACAGTCAGGACATTGATATCGGTGCTTTGGGGTTGCAGCAACCAGAGCTGATGGCTCCATGGATGGGTTATGTTCCTGAAGGTGTGTTGGGTTTTTTTGAGCCCCCTGATATGAGTCAGGGCAACCAATGATGAGGGCAATGCATGATACGATGTTCTTTGCGAGGCGCACATGGGGCCTAGGTAATGGCGTTTGTGATGGTTATGACAAAAACGACTGCTACGACGTTTAGAGATATCCCGAGTTTGAGCTTGGTGCAGGGTGTACACGGGGCATGCTTGGGAACTTGGCTCGCGGCGTCTGTATCTACATGTGAGGTTTTCCTTGGGGCTTTCTCAGGGGCCATGTCTGTAATTGGGTACCGGATTGGACATGGAGTAGCTGGAGCTTGGGTATGACAGGTTGTAGAAAAGGACGAGCCATCACAAATCATGAAGTCACGACCTGCATTTTTGAGACGGCGTTATTATGGATGACCTGGGGGGTGATTAAGCTTGGTGATGAGCAGATCTAGTTTATTTGCGCTCCTCCTCGAAGATTGAGTTGCTGGTGTTATGTTTAAGCCGTAACCATGTTCTAAAGTTTTGAGCAGACAATCCCATATTTGTATGGCGATCAGGGAGTTTGGACACCGTCATCATGACTTGGCCTTTGAGTTGATAATTCTTGACGTTTCCTCTTCCGTGAGGAACATGACCGCTTAATTGGGATTCTTTCCCCGCCTACCTGATGCCCCAGAACTGGGCAATGATGATCCCATGGACGAGGAGCTGGACCCCCCGCTCGATCAGACCGTTACCTCTCATCCATCCCGCACCCCAGGAACTGGTGGCGACGTACGTCTTCATCATGTCCGCGTCCGCGCCTTCAATGTACGGGTCTCGTGGGTACCGTCCTCGCGCTGGGTCCATCATGTCGTTGGGTACGAGGGTGGGAATCGGACCGTACTCTTCCTCGAGGTCCTTCTTTGCTGCCACGTTTTCCTCCCGTTCTTCGATGCGCTCCAATATGCGCTCGTTGAGTCGTTTGCCGGTCAGTTGGTCGTCGAGGGGGAGTTTTTTAAGAGCTGAGATGTTGCCAGGGACCAGGCAATTCTCGTGAAGCACAGTGTTCCGGCCGGCGATATGGTTGGAAGGCTCAGTCCGGAACGGGAAGGACTTGAAAGCTCTCAACGTTCCTGGCGAGGAACCCGCGAGACCCTATGCCACTCAACTTGACAATCCAAGCCACCGTGGTTTACTTTGATGTGGTCCTGAGCCTCGATCGGAAGCCCGAGGAACTGGCTCGTGGGAAGGGTCAGATGAACCACCCGGTTCCCAAAGTGTCCCTGGAAGTCTTCCTACTCTACTATCCCCACTGGATCCGTTTTCACGAGGTACACCATGGCAGTAGAGGGACTAGTATTTCGGCAACGTTCTGGAAAAGAATTCTCCTCAAAGAGTTTGATATTGCCATGCCCACAAGATGGGCTCGAGTATTCAACTACTGTTAGCCATAGAGTCGTAGGAGAAAAATCCAGGCCTTTTACTTTTACGAAGTTATGGTTATATTTACTTGCCGCTTCTCTGTTTAGATGGCCACCATATGGCATCCCAAAACCGGCGACAAATCTGGTATTTCATAAACAGAAATCAACCTACAGCTCCCCTATCTACGAAAATGTCACCCGTTTTAGTCGACCCGGGCCCTCCATGAGCCGGCGTTGCCAGGACGACAGCACGAAAGTCTCGTTGCTTCTGTAGGTGCCCAGGAGTCCGACTGAACGCGCAGAACGGCGTCCTAGTCGTCAATGAACGACATGACAATCAGCCGCGCAGCTCCCACATATCAGAGCTTCTCTGGCAATCCTACCTAAAATATGCCGTCTCCCTTCCCTGGGGATAGATCACCATTGGGTTCATGAGAGCTGATGGATGGCGCCTGGGACCTGAGCGATTCGGAACCCGAATACCATTGGATACTCCTCCAGCAACAGCGAGTCCGGGTATTCCTCCTGATGCCAGTCTCCCGCTTCACAAATATCAATTAGAATCCAACTGAATTCATCAGTACGAGGAAAGTTCTCTAGCTTGATCTCATAGTAGATTCTCTCTCCGAAGAGATAGGTGGTCGAACAAGTCTGGGGTCCTCCTGAAGTGGCCAGGAACAACCTCAAAAACATGGGGGTGCCATCTCACCCGACCCAACACAATGGCGCCCATGGCAGATCAGACCCAAAAGGCCACATTGACGAACCATCGAGCCATGATCTCTGCCAGTACTTTCAGCTCCCTGACCGGTCGTAGATCAGGTCGGGGATGGTACCTGGGAGATCCATCCGGTGAGGGCGGCGACGATGCCAGAATCTCCTTTCTAAGTTGGTGGCTACTCCTGGGATAGCCTATGTGCCACTTATACAGGCAACACCGCACGGCCAAAGGCATGTTTGATCTAAGTAGTCCGATGGTTCGTATGTCGTTCAGCAGGTGTAGGGGGGGCCACCGGGAGCCTCTCCGTAATGCTCTCAGGGGACCATGGCATTGAGATCCCCCGTGTTCCTACCCTCCCAGGAATCGATCTTTAGCCAGGGCAGAACCGTTCAAAGTTAATACTCCTGAATGGTAGGGGGGACTCCAGTGACCACAGCAAGAGCAACCAACCACGTCGTCCCTCGGGGTTTCGTAGATCTTGGCCTGGCAGTGATGTTGTTTTATTCGCTTTCTGCAATGAGTAGCGCACAAGGGCTGCAAGGTTTGCACGTATAATTTTATAATCTATAGTGATAGCCAGGGCTACACTCATAATTAGCTACAGGTAATACAATACTTCTAAACCCATAGTTTCTTTGCCGAGTCCCACCCCGGTGTCTTTGATGCAGTAGCCAGCCGTCATCTCTCTGTATATCCAACAGAACCATGTCGACAAACAATCCCAAAGTCAACATCCTCTATAGAAACAACACTTTTCCTAAAACAAACGATATGCCGCAGACGTCGCAAACATGCCAGCTCTCCGACATGAATACCAGGCTCCTAAAGCCCTTCTCGGACCGTTGTGGTATCTCGCAACCTTTCACATCTTTCCCATAAGTCAGCCGGATGAGGTGCCTTGCAAAGTCCCAGTCGCAGACGTTGCTCCTCTGGCACGCTTCCTTCACAGCTCACCTCTTGACATTGAGCGCCTCACCAAATTGCTCGTAGCACATCACGCCACGCTCTTAACCCACAAGCAAGGCTGACACCGACAACCGATGTTCAGGGTGGTATCTCTATTGAGGCGACCAAGCTCAACTTCATCTGATCCTGCGTCATGCCTTGAAGATCCAGACACTGAGAAGAGGACCACGCGACTACGCCCCCTACCTCTGCAGGGTTCTTTCTCTATTCCAACTCTTCGCAGTTAACCCTGCTTCTTCCCCTTCTTCAGACGTCCCTTTATTCTGGGGCATGATGTGCATCTCAAGTCATGGACGTTGATGGCACCCTAACTACTCACCCACTACATCCCGACTTTCATCGAGGTGGGCTTTCTTTTGTCCTTGGCGGCTTTGAGATGTTTCTTGTGCCTTGGATAACCATCTCCATTCACAAAAGTCAGGGTAGTCTCTACGGCTCGTTAGGAATCGACAAGTTGGCAGAACGCAACTTAGGTATGTCTAGGGTGAATCTGTTGAACTACCTGGACGACCCATCTCTTTTATACCATCGTCAAAAGCAACAGCGTGTGCCCCTTGTAATCGAAATATCCAGTTAGCCGCAAGAACAGAGGGTATGAATCTGAGCGATATACTCTAGTGGTCCTCTTGGGCTCTTATTGTGTACCTACCTAGTTCAGGGGAGTCTCCAAGATCTTTCATCAACTCATACAATATCTATCCGTGATTGAACACTTGACAACGCTCCTTCAACCAAGATACCCAGAATCATCTAATTAATTCCAAACTCCTCTATAGAGTCATGATCCACATTGAGATTATCCAAGCCTGAGCCAAAGGTTGGGTTGATACAACTACGAGGCAGCTATCCAATTCCTTTAGCCTCCATTCATTCATTCAATCATTCCTCACCTCTGATCGCTGCACGAGAACAAAAATTTGCCATGCAAAAAGATCAAAAAATCCGAGTCCCTTTCTAGTTTATTTTTTTTTTTTTTTTTGTATCTGTTTCCGCCCCTTTTCCCTTTTACCGTCTGAGAACATTATTACCCACATATGTCGCATGCTACGCCATGACGGCATCAGCAATCACAAGAGCAGCCATACCCTCGACAATAGGGACAGCACGCGGTACAACACAAGATCATGTCATCTCTTGGCGGCAAGGACACTTCTCCTGAGGCATCGTAGCGGACAGTGGTCTGGTCCTGGCTGATGGTGGCAGGAGGCTTGAAACCGACCTTGAAGAAGATGGGCTGTTACCGCCCTGGATGCCACCAGAGTAGTTCGTCTTGGCCTGGAGCTTAGACTTGGGAATACCCGTCTTCTCAGAAGCGGCGTCGAGGGTAGGCGCGGGCACGAAAGGATCGATGTGCTTGCTATCCGTCATCTAAGCGCCCAAGAATCCCGAACCAAACTCAAAGGCCTTGGCAGCGGGGATGGACAGCATGGCATGCGCCAAAACAGCCTGCAGCTTGTCGAAGCAAGGCTCTCCCAGTTCAGAGGGCGCATTGCGGATGACACACGTAACAGTGTCAGGTGCTGTCGTGCTGGTCTCGCAGCTCAGCATGCGCGCCTCCATAGCCTGGCCGGCGGCGTCGTCGGGGCATCTCACGGGGAGGTTCTCGTCCACCTCTGCTCAGGCGATTGTCTCTACAAGTCTGAGGAAGGCCGGGTCGCTAAAGAGCTTAATGTTACCGACCGAGGTAACAAAGGCGACAATCTCGATACCGTACGCCTCGCAGAGCCACTTCTCAGCGACAACTCTAGCAGCGACTCGAGCAACGGTCTAACGAGCGGAGCTGCGTCCACCGCCATAAGAAGCCTTTACGCCATACTTCTCTAGGTAGGCCCCAGTCAGCGTGACTGGATCGAGGGTAGAGGTCGATGATCTTGTCGCCGTAGTCCTAAGCTCGACATGATTAGTGTAACGTGGTGATGAGAACTTTTTGGTGTTTTGACACAAAAAAAAAAGGGAGGGAGACAAAAGTTTGCCTAGGAAGGAAATGGCGGCCGTTGAAGAGTTTCTTCGAGTCAAGGAATGGAAGCCCCAAATCCGATCTCGGGAGGAATCTTTACTCTTGACAAAGGGAGCGGGGGAGGGGGAGGGGCAGAAGCAACTCAATTAGCCCCGTCAATTAAAGATTCTTGACTGTAATCAATTGAGACTCGATTAATTAATCAAATCAATCAAAACTGTCTCAATTAATTTACATTCTTCTTTATTATACTTCATCCCTCTAGAAACCGACATCGACCTTGTATGTTTCAATGAACCAGGATAATTCATCTTACCTTGCAGTTTACAGAGGACCCTCAACAAGGCGTCATGGAGTGGGAGACAAAGAACAAAGCATACAAACAATATAAGAAAAAAGAGGTGACGAGTCTGGCTTTTAATGATGATTTTAACCTTTGATAGGGATACCTACGCTCCTCTATCTAGGTTCTAGTAAAGGTTCCCAACTGTTATCTTTACAATCGGCTTGGTCTAGGTTAGCCCTGTGGGTTCCTAGAGGAGTTTCCCGCTGCAAGGCTGACGACGTTGCACCTCAATTTTTTTCCCCATTCTCGCTCATTGGATAGCCTCAACAACTCATCATCCCGCCAACCAAACACCTCTTGCCGTTAACCTTGTCATCGGTAAATGATAAAAATATAAACTTTGCCACTACCAATTGGGAATCGTCTCGCGAGAGCTGACTGAAAATGTTCTCTATTACCCGTTCATCAGCTCCTCGTCAGCTATCACGAAATATCCTCTCATCTCTATCAAGACGCCAATTCACAGATGCAGCCTCTCACCCCTCAAACAAGATCCAAGTCTATACCTCAAAGTCGAGAGATCCCTTCCTCAACCTCTCGGTAGAGCATCATCTCCTGCAAAACACTCCCCCGGACTCCACCATCCTCATCCTCTACACCAACGACCCCTGCATCGTCTTTGGCCGTAACCAGAACCCGTGGACAGAAGTCAACCTCCCCCGACTCGCTCAACTGCGTAACCGTCCAGAGAGCTTAGGATGGACTGCTGGTCCTGTGCAGCTGGTGCGTCGTCGCTCAGGAGGCGGCACCGTTTTCCACGATGAGGGAAATGTCAACTTTAGCGTCATTTGTCCACCTGCCGTCTTTGACCGCAACAAGCATGCCGAGATGGTTGTCCGTGCTCTCTCCTCTCTAGGAAGACCAAACACGCGGGTCAATGAGAGACACGACATTGTCATGGACGTCGCCGACGATCCCATCGGCACCTACAAGATCTCCGGGTCAGCATACAAACTCACACGTCTTCGCTCTCTCCACCACGGCACCTGTCTCCTCCGCAGCCCAAACCTCGCCAACATCTCAAGCATGCTGCGCTCACCGGGAGAGCCATTCATCAAGGGCCGCGGCGTAGACAGTGTCCGCAGTCCCGTCAAGAACGTCGACGTTGAAAACGCCCCCTTCGAAGCTGCCGTCGTTGAGCAGTTTTCTCGCATGTACGGCGACTTCCACGTTCAAGATGTTATCGACGACAAGTTCCTCGAGATCGAAAACATCCGCAAGGGCTACGAGGAGCTTCAGTCCCGGAGCTGGATATACGGTCAGACACCGAGATTCACATTCTCCACCTTCTCATACCGCAAGGATCCTCGCCCGAGACCACAGCTTCCCTTTGATGTGAGCACACCACTAAAAGAACATGTCTTGGAGATAAGCTAACAGCCAAACCAGCTGAAACTTCGCTTCGAAGCCAGACATGGCCTTGTCGAGAACTTCGCTGTAGAGGGTGCATCATTCCCTCCAACAGACGTCGACATGTCAGCCCTCGTAGCGAGCTCCATCTACCATGTCCCAACCTGGACTGACAAGCTTGCCCAGGCTGGCATGGCTGAGGGTGACGCCGCAAAGATCGGATCATGGATGGACGACGTTCTCGGTACAGAGTTTACAAAGCCTGCGCAATAATTTCGCCGCCTCCATCAGGCTGCGACGTGATACGAGGTCAAGGTCAGAGAGGCATCCATCTACTACACGCGCACTCTCTCACACCCCTTTGTGCCAGGTATTCCGGTGTCGTCCTTGGTCGCCGTGTTTCACTCAGCTCAGCCCAGCCAAGTCCAGCCCGAAGAGACCCGGTGACTGCCTGGACCGTCCACCAACAAGAACATGTGAACTAGCACACACTCTTGCCATGGGAATCCCCACACACATTCGTCCATTTGCCTCACGGCAGGGCAAGGCTGGCTGAGCCTCGCGCGCGTCGTCGCGTTCCAGCACGACCCGACGCGTCAACACCTCTTGATGGCG